GAGGGGGGAGGGGGGAGTGTAGAGCATGGGCTTCTAGGATATGCCCTTTGGTCGGAAGACGATGCATGGAGGGGATTGGAACCATGGCAATGTAATGTGATATACGATGGAATGAATATGGAACTGAGGTTCTCTCATGTAAACTATCATATAATTCACAATAAAACATTTAAAAAATAATAAAGAAATAAATAAAATTTGCATAACACCAAAATTAAGTTTTGCCATTAAGTCAAAAATTTAACTTACAGAAGAGTAGCTATTGTTGTTGCCAAGTGCCACTGAGTCAGTTCCAACTCCTAGCAACTCTAACAGGGTTTACAAGGAGTGGATGGTGAATTTAAACTGCCAACCTTGCAGTTAACAGTCCAAAGCTTACCCTACAATGCCACCCACTACACACCACATAATAGTAGCCAAGGATGATAATTTTATATCTAAAGAATCTTTTACAATCAGCACAGATTAAGAAGTACAAGCTTTTGTACAAAATCAGACCAAGGGAACTTTAAAAAGTGCCGAATATATTTTTCTTTGGAGAATCTAATGTTGTTATTGTTAAGTGCCATTAAGTTGATTCTGACCCATAGCGACCCTGTACAGGGTTTCCAAGGAGCAGCGGGAGAGCTTAAACCACCAACCTTGCAGTTCAAACAACTTTGCAGTTTAACACATTAGCCCACAGCGCTACACCAGGACTGCAGAGAATCTAATAAAGGTGTCTATATACTGGAGCGCTGTGGCTTAATGCACCAGACTTCAAAGCCATTTGAACTGCAAGGTCAGCAGTTCAAGCTCAGCAGCTATTGCTCAGAAACCCTATACAGGGTCACTATGGGTCAGAATAGATTCCACGGCACTGTTACAACAACAACCTTACAAAACTGCTTCTTGTGGAAGAGGGTCCTTGCTACTGAGAAATCACCATACATTAACCTTAAGGGGAAAGTTAATCAAAAACCAAAGGTCACTGACTCTCAGATTTCTAGAAGGGCCTGGCATTGACAAAGGTCTGATGCTGTAAGGTGCCTTCCATTTGGCTCCAATTCATAACGACCCTAAGTATACTTGTCCAGGGCTGCATCATCCTCACAATCATTGCTATGCTTGAGCCCATTGTTGCAACCACTGTGTTCATCCATCTTGTTGGGGGCTTTTCTTTTTTTCCTCACTGTCCTCTTTTCTACTAGTGATTCAGGGACTGGTCCCTTTTGATATTATGTCCAAAGTATGCAAAACAAAAAGCTGATGCTCCATTCTTGCTCCAAGGAGCATTCCAAGATAGATTTGCTTGTCCTTCTAGCAATCAAATGTTTTCCCTGGTTACTTCACCAACACCATAGTTCAAATGGTTCAATTCTTTTCCAGTCTTTCTTATTCATACATTGTCCAGCTTTCAGATGCCCATGAGGCAACTGAAAATACCATGGCTTAAATCAAGAGCACCTTAGTCCTCAAAGTGGTATCTTTGCTCTTTGACAATTTAAAGAAGTCTTTTGCAGAAGATTTGCCCTATGCAGTATGCCATTTAATTTCTTGATTGCTGCCTCTGTGGGTGTTAATTGTGGACCCAAGTAAAATGAAATCCTTAACTTCAATCTTCTCTCCATTTAGTGTGATGTTATTTATTAGTCCAGTTGTCAGGATTTTAGTTTTCTTTATATTGAGGTGCAATCCATACAGTAGGCTGTGGCCTTTGATCTCCATCAGTGAAGTGCTTCAAGTCTTCAGTTTCAACAAGAAAGGTTGTGTCTATCTGCAAATAGATTGAAGGAATGTGCCTTCCTTCAATCCTGATGTCACATTCTTCTTTATAATCCAGCTTCTCTGATTATTTGTTCAGCATACAGACAGAACAAGTATGGTGAAAGAGAAAACCTGGGAGTATAGATTTTCTGATTTTAATCTAGTCCATTTCCCCTTATGTTTGATCAACTGTCTCTTTGTCTATGCACAGGTTCCACATGAGCACAATTAAATGTTCTGGAATTCCTATTCTTTACAATGTTATCCACAGTTTGTTATGATCCACACAGCTGAATGCCTTCAACAAAGCACAGGTAAGCATCTCTCTGACAATCTCTACTTTCAGCCAGGATCCACCTGATGTCATCAGTATCTTTCATTACACATCTTCCTCTGAATCCAGCTTGAGTTCTGACAGCTCCTTACTGATGTACTGCTGCAGCAGTAACAATCATCTTCACCAAAATTTTAGTTGCATGGGATATTAATGATACTGTAGGATGATTTCCCAATCTGTTGGGTCACTTTTCTTTAGAATGGGCACAAATACGGATCTCTTCCAGTAGGTTGGCCAAGTAGCTGCCTTCCAAACTTCCTGATATAGATTAATGAGAATTTTTAGTACTGCAAAGTTTTGTTGAGATATTTCAATTGATACTGTTAAGATATTTCCTGGAACCTTGGTTTTTGCCAATGCATTTAGTGCTGTTTAGAATTTTTCCTTCATTACTATTGGTTTTGTTTATAGGTTACTTCTTGAAAGGATTAACTGCTGACCAACTCTTTTTGTTAACGTGACACTGTATTCCTTCCATCTTCTTTTGATGCTTCCTGCATAGTTCACTGTTTTGCCCATAGACTCCTTCAATATTGCAACATCAATATTGCAAATTCAATTTTTTCATCAGTTCTTTTAGCTTGAGAAATGTTCAATGTGTTCTTCCCTTCTGGTTTTCAAGCGCAGGTCTTCAGACATTTCATGAAAAGACTTTTCTCTTCTCAAGCTAACCTTTGAAAATTTCTACTCAGCTCTTTGACTTGTAGTCCTTTAAGCTTCTCTATGTTCAAGAATAGGTTTCACAATCTTTTCTGACATCCATTTTGGCCTTTTCTTTCTTTCCTGTCCTTTTAAAGACCTTTTGTTTTCATGTGTGATGTTCTTGATGTCATCCCACAACAAATCTGTTCTTGGGATGATCTTTAAAGTTAGGTGAAATAGACTCAAAATCTTATTTTAACTCTTAAAGACTTTTAATTTTCTTCAGTGTCATCCTGAACTTGCATATGAACAATTGATGATGTGTTCCATAGCTGGTCCCTCGCCTTGTTCTGCTGATGATACTGAGTTTCGCCATCGTATCTTTCCATAGATGTAGTACTCTAATTGTTACTCCATCTGTCACGGTCTATGTATATAGTAACATTGGAAAAAAGATATATGCAATGAATAACTTGTTGATCTTCTAAATACTACCATGTCGTCTCCCACATTTCTATACCAAAGTCATATTTTCCAACTATTGATCCTTCCTTTTGTTCCCAATTTTCACATTACAATTATTAACAATGCATGTTTGCTCAATTTACAACTGGAGGAGACAAATTTCTTCATCTCTGGCTTTAGTGGTTGGTACATAAATATGAATAATAATAGTATTAGTTGGTCTTCCTTACAGGTGTATGGATATTATACTATTACTAGCATTGTACTACAAAACCAATCTTGATTTTTTTTTTTTAGCCATGAATGAGACACCATACCTCTTGAATTCGCCATCCCCATCATAGTAAACCATATGATTTTCTGATTTAGCATGGCCAATACAGTAAACCATATAGTTGCCGGATTCAAAATGACCAATACCAGTTCATTTCAGCTCACTAATGCCTATAAAAGGTATCAGGAAAGGTATGTGCCACAGTCAATCCCAAATAATCCAAGAAGCTGGACTGTATGAAAAATAACATGGCATCGGAACTAGAGGAAGACTCATCAACAATCTGTGGCATACGGATGATACAACTTTGCTTGCTAGAAGTGAAGAGGATTTAAATTATTTACTGACATAGATCAAAGACTATAGCCTTAAGTATGGATTGTACCTCAGTGTAAAGAAAACAAAAATCCCAACAACTGGAAAGATAAATAACATCATGATAAATGGAGAAAAGAATGAAGTTAAGGATTTCATTTTACTGGATCTACAATTAACACCCACGGAGGCAGCAGTCAAGAAATTAAATGGCATACTGCATTAGGCAAATCTTCTGCAAAAACCTCTTTAAAGAGGTTAAAGAGAAAGGTATCACTCTGAGGACTAAGGTACTCTTAAGACAAAATATTTTTAATCATCTCATATGCATGGCAAAGCTGAACAATGAATAAGAAGACTGGAGAAGGAGTGAAACATTTGAATTATAGTGTTGGCAAATAATATTTAATATACCACAGACTACAAAACAGTGACTAAATCTGTCTTGGAAGAAGTACAGCCAGAAATCTGCTCCTTGGAAGCAAAATGACAAGACTTCTCAAAAGTTAAGACGTTTCTTGTACTATGGACATGCCAGAAAGAACTAGTCCCTGGGAAGTGACATCATGCTTGGTAAAATAGAAGGTAAGTGCAAAAGAGGAAGACCCCCAAGGAGACAGACTAACACAGTGTCAATAACAATGGGTTTAAACATAACAATTGTGAAGACGCACAGCATAACACAGGGAGTGTTTTGTTCTGCTGTACACAGTATCGCTGAGTCAGAATAAACTTGCTGCATCTAACAATACCAGTGCCTAGGATACAGATCTTAATGTGCTCCACTTCAGTTTTGATGACTTCCAATTTTCCTAGATTCATACTTTGTACAGTTCACATTTCAGTTATTAAAGGATAACTGCAGCGGTTTCATCTCATTCTGAGTCATGTCCTATCAGCAAATGATAGTCCTGAAAACTTCGCTTTGTTCACAACATTAAGGTCAACTCTACTTGAGAGGAGTCCTGCTGTGGCACTGTAGGATAAGCACTGGACTGGTAACTCTAAAATCAGTGGTTCAAACCCACCAGTTTCTCCTTGCAAATTCTATGCCGGGTTCACTCTTAGTGGGAACCACCTCGATAGCACAGAACAACAATAACAACTACTTCTGAGGAAGGCAGCTCTTCCCTAATTGTATTGAGTGCCTTCCAACCTGAGGGGTTCATATTCTGGCATTATACTAGTTAACATTCCAGTACTATGCATAAGGTTTTCTGTGGATGATTTTTCAGAAGCAGTTTGCCTATTCCTTCTTCCTAATCAATCTTAGTCTGGAAACTCCCATGAATCCTTTCCAACAATGAATGACCCTGCTATTTGAAATACCAGTGGCATAGTTTCCAGCATCATAAACCATCAAAGTCACCACAATATGACAAACTGACATGCCAATAAAACATAGCCCTCATGCCACAAGTAGCCTGACAATTTCTAATTTAATGATCTGATGTTCATTATTTTTATGATATTCCTATTAAATATATTTGTCAGAAAGAAAATAAGAGACTGCTAACTAGAAAGGAAATGCTAAGCCATCAGCTGGACAAAGTTCAAGTAGAATTTTCTAAAAGCAATTGTTGAAAATTTGATTGGTAAATGTGAAAGACCAGAGAAAGAAATTCTGCATTTGCTTCTCTTGCTATTCACAAACCACAAGCAATTTCATAAAGAGAGAATACCTTGATTTCATTCTACTGTATTATCTAAGAACTCCTTGCAGAAGTTCACATGTTTTTCTTGGTTACTTCTTCCTCTGCATCATTAATTTTACCAATAGAGGTTATACTGATTGTTCTAAATGTGTGGGGCTCTAAGATAAACATAGAGAAATATCACATAGGTCCTAGCAAGGCATTAACCTATTGCAAAACTAGAATTTCAAAATAAATGTTTGCTAAAATGATCCAAGTTGCACAAAGCTTATGATTTTTAATTATTTTCAATTAAAGGGAAGTTCAAGATGAATTGATTTGATCACTTAAAAAGGGGTTATAATGATTTACCTCATCACTAAGTTTAAGCTGCCCCATCTATATTGCTCAGCCTACAAATCGAATTGAGACAGTGAATAGTACAGAAGATGGTAAATGTATTAGTTATGATTCTCAAACTGTCTATGTTTCAAAATCAGCTAGAACTTGATAAAACACTGACATCTAGTTTCACTCCAGATCTAATTAAAGAGAATCTTGAGAGAACAATAACTTTGAAATCTGTATATTTTATTTCCTATATTATTATGGAGTCAGTTTAGCTCCAATGGTCCTAAAACCAGTTGCTGTCAAGTTGATTTGGACTCACGGCAACTCCATGTGTGTCAGAGCACTATGCTCAATAGGGCTTTCAATGGCTTTTTTAAAAAAGAAAGTAGATTGCAAGATTTTTCTTCGAATGTGCCTCAAATCTTGTGGTCAGCAGCTGAACCCCTTAACCATTTGTACCAACCAGGGATTCAATGGCCCTAGAGCATGGGTGGGGAATGTCTGGCCCTTGGGCCATATAAGACTGAGAAATCATTTGTTCTGGCTCTGCTAAGGCAATCACAGTCCCAGCCATCACATTTTTTGTTGTTGTTAAGTTCTGTCAAGTCAGTTCCAACTCACAGCAACCCTGTATAGGGTTTCTGAGGAGCAGCTGGTGGGTTTGAACTGCTGACCTTGTGGTTGGTAGTCCAATGCTTATCCTATCTTGTCACTCCAGGAGAGTCCATGCCATCACATTAGGAGTGAGTTAATTAAATACTCGACCAAATATAGCAGGTTAATTTTTAAGGTGATAATTTTGTATGGTCCACAAATGCTGTAATAAATTTTGGCTGAAAAAAGGTTCCTCACACCTGCCCTTTTTTCTGTTAAAGTTTGTAACATCATTCACAGGCCATAAAAAAAAAAAAAAAAAAGGTTCCCCATCCCTGCCCTGGAATCCTGGTGTGGCACTGTGTGTTAATGCACTGGACTACAAGGTCAGCAGTTCAAGCTCACCAGTCACTCCTTGGACACCCTATACATGGTCGCTATGAGCTAGAACCGACTTCAGTGGCACTTAACAACAACAAGAACCCCTACCCTAGAGAGTAATTATGCTATGGCATTTCCTGAGTAAAAATACAAAAGTTATTTAAGCTGTGATTTCTAACAATAAATATATAATTATAAAAACAATGAAATAGTTACACTGTAATAATGCTGTACATTTACTGACAATAAACAACTTTAAATATTTTCTCATATAAGTATCCTATAATGAATGGGCTGCTGTTGTTCTTAAGTTACATTGAGTTGGTTTGACTCATAGCTACCCTTTATAGGGTTTCCAAGGAGTGGCTGGTAAGCTTGAAATGTTGACCTGGTGGTTCAAAGCGACCTTGCAGACCTGTGCATTAACCCACAGCGCCACACCAGGATGCCAATTAATGGGTTAAGAACATTCAGTTGACTCAGATCTAGTATGAATCCTTGCTCTGACAATCACCAGCTGTGTGATTTTGGATAAGTTATTTTAACCTGTTTGAATCTTGATTTCCTCAGCTTTAACTATACTTTTAATTGTAAGAATTAGGAAATAGCAAGTAATGAATAAATGACAAGATTAATGAGCACTTAAAATAACAAAATGCTAATCTTTACTCACCATTAAACACCTCATTAAATTCTCCTGGAGGCGCATGAGTGATGAATTTAGCAGCTATGCGTACCTACAAGAAATAAAATTCACAGTAAGAGAATAATAAAGAGAAATGTATAAACCATATTGGCACTGTAGGATAAGGACTAGACTGCTAACCGCAAGGACACTTCCAAGCCAGAAGCCACTCCATTGGAAAAAGGTAGTTTTCTGTTCCTTTAAAGATTTACCTGCTTGGAAAGCCTATACAGGGTTGCTAAATGTTGTGATCAACTCCATGGCAGTAAGTGGGGAGATGGAGGATATATATATATATATGTATATATATATAAAAACAAATTAACAGATAACAAAATATCCATCACATCCCTTTGAAATAAAATTTCCTATTTACACTCTTTTTTAGTTCTCACATTTTCTCTTCAGAAAACATTCCTAAGCTGTTATTATCAGTACAGGTTTCTTTCTATTTTGGAATACATATGCTGTTTTGTTAAGTTTGAGTTTTTCTTTAAAAAGTTGAACAATCAGTTTTTGATCATACCAAAATTTTTGTTGTTTAAGTGCCATTGAGTCGGTTCCGACTCATAGTGACCCTGTAAATATTTATGGGAGCAAACAGCCTCATCTTTCTCCCTAGAACCTGCTGGTGTGTTTGATCTACTAACTTTGCAATTAGCAACCCAGTGCTAAGCCCACAGAGCCACCAGGCCTACTTAGAAGTGTAAAAGGGTCCTGAAATTAAAAAACAAAAAGCAGGATTGATCTGCTGACATGGGTAGATGTTCATGATATGTTGTTAAGTGAAAAGTGTTTATGAAATAATGTATTGTGGTTTCATTACAATTTTATGGTATATTACACATATTAATCTAGCTAGTAAATTTTAACTAGAAAATCTTTAGTGGTGGCATTACAGAAGACTTTTTTTCCCCTATGGGGGTTACTTTATCTCTCTGTTCTGTAAGTTATACATGGACTATAAATTATTTGTATTATATAGTGTTGGTAGGTGCTATCAAGTTGTTTTTGCCTCAGAGGGACTTCATCTGCAAAAGTAGTATTTTCCCCATTTCTGATCCATAATCTTTAGAGAAGCAGATTGCCAGGTCTTTTTCCTGCAGAGTTGTTGGATGGCTTTGAACCATCAACCTTTTAGCTAGCAGTCCAGCACTTAGCCATTTGTGCCACTAAGACTGCCTTTGTATGATAAATGGCTGGCTAGCTGGCTGGCTGTGTGCCATCAATTTGGTCTCAACTCATAGTGACCCTATATAGGATTTTAGCAGCTGTAAATGGTTCAAACTGACTTTGCAGTCCACTGCATTAACCCACAGCATCACACCAAGGCTCCTATACAATATAAATGTTTAACCATTTTTTTTAAATAAAAAAAAGAGCATGCTAACATGCCTCATCTATTAACATGCAAGAGGGAAGGGAGCATAAACAAAGACAGATTTTAAATGCCACCAATATGGAAAGAACAAAGTCAAAGAAGAATGGACAGAACAATGTAAGGATGATAAAATACTACAGCAACAGGAAGGCTTTATACTTCACATATACTTTTTGACCATAAGGAGCTTTGCCTTATTTACCTTATATCCGAATAGTGCCTTACGTCAAAAAACAGAGGATGACTGTTGTTGGGTGTAATCAAGTCTGTTACAACTCACAGCAACCCTGCATAGGGTTTCCAAGAGTGGTTGGTGAGTCTGAACTGCCAACCCTGTAGTTAGCATTTATAAGTACCACAGGTCTGTTGTTGCTTATTGCCACTGAGTCGGTTCTGACTCATAGCAACCCTGTTTAGAGTCTCCGAGGTTTTAATGTTTGGGGGAGCAGAAAGTTTCATCTTTATCCTGCAGAGCAGCTGGTGAGCTTGAACCGTCAACCTTATGGTTTGCAGTCCAGTACTTAGGTTGGTTGGTGGTTGTGTGTCATCAAGTCAGTTCCAATTCATAACGACCCTTTATAGGGTTCCTGAGGCTATAAATCTTTATGGAAGCAGAAAACTTAATCTTTCTCCCACGGAGCGACTAGTAGATTTGAACTACTGACTTACGGTTAGCAGTTTAGCTCATAATCCACTACGCTACCAGGGCTCCTTTTAGGTTGATAAGAAGGGACAAGACAGAAAGATTTCTACTATTACAAGGTATCTGTTTTATGATTGTTGGCAACTTGCCATCAAGTTACCTCCTACTCAAGTGGCCCCATGTATAACAGAACAAAATGTTGTCCACCCTCATGACGGCCACTGTACCAATCCATCTCATTTTACTGTAAAATCCATCTGATTTTACTTGCCTTCACTGGCCCTCTACTTAATCTAACAGAATGCCCTTCTTTAGTGATTGGCCTTTCTTGATGCATCCAAAAAAACTGAGTCAAAGCCTTAGAAAATATTCTCTATAACCCATAGAATTTTCACATGCTAACTGGAGGAAGACTCATTAACAACCTGCAAAATGCAGATGATGCGATTTTGCTTGCTGAAAGTGAAAAGGCCTTAAAATATTTACTGTAGAAGATCAAAGACCACAGCCTGTGCTATGAATTTTATCTCAATGTAAAGAAAACAAAAATTCTCACCAATGAATCAATAAACAACATCCATATCAATGGAGAAAAGATTAAAGTTGTCAAAGACTTCATTTTGTTAGGATCAACATTCATGGAAGCAGCAGTTAAGAAATCAAACGACGTACTGCATTAGGCAAATCTGGAGCACAAGACCTCTTAAAAGTGTTCAAGAGCAAAGGTGTTAATTCCAAGACTGATTCCAAATCCAAGCCTGATTCAATCCATGGTATTTTCAATAGCCTCAAATGCATGTGAAAGTTGGACAGTGAATTGATGCATTTGAGTTATGGTGTTAGAGAAGAATATTAAAAGTACCATGGACTACCAGAAGAACAAACAAACCTATGTTAGATGAAGCACAGCCAGAATGCTCCTTAGAAGCCAAGCCAGGATGACGAGACTTCGTCTCTCATACTTTGGACACGTTACCAGGAAGGGCCAGTCCCTGGAGAAGGACATTATGTTTGGTAAAGTGGAGGGTCAGTGAAAAAGTAGAAGATCCCTAACAAGATGGACTGGCACAGTAGCAGCATCAAAGGGCTCAAGCATAACGATGATTGTGAGAATGGTGTAGGACTGGACAGTGTTTTGTTCTGCTGTGTATACAATGGCTATGAGTCCAAGCCAACTTCACAGTCCCTAACAACAACAATATTGAAAGAAGGAGCAGAGTAAACTAGAAGGTCACTTCCATTTTCTAAAGAAAGATAATAATAACAAGAACAAAAGTTAGAGACTGATGAACATCAAGTAGTAGTTAATTGATTTTAGGTTCAAAGGCTGAAATAAACTAAGAGAATCCAGCACATCTGAGAATATTAAGGCTAGCAGGAGAAATGTCCAACTAGAGAAACCAAAACATTTCCCAGATTTTAAGTGGAAGTGGGTAGATATGAAGGCATATGCAATGGCATGGGTAAAATTTAAAATGAGTGTTTAGATTAATATTTGAAGATATCTTAAGTGTTAAATTGATTTGTCACTATCTAAGCAATACCACTATAAAATTCTACCACCTATTTATTGTTTGTTGTACAACGGTGGCTTATGTTTTGCCATGATGCTGGAAGCCATGCTAATGGCGTTTCAAATACCAAAAGGGTCACACATGGTGAACAGTTTCAGCAAAACTTCTAAAGAGACTAGGAAACAATGCCTGATGATCTATTCCCAAAATGTAAGCAATAGAAATTTTATGGTTCACAGTGTATATTGTCTGAAGCGTTGACTCACTTATTTTAATGCATCTAAAGGGATCAATCGCTAGAGAAGAGCATTCTGTTAGGTAAAGTGGAGAACCAGTGAAGGCAAGGAAAATCATCAATGGACTGGTACAATGGCCTTAACAGTCATGAATTTGGACAATGTTTTGTTTGGTTATACATGGGGACACCTGAGTAGGAGATGACTCGATATAAATTAACAACTGTAAAAAGTACCTTATAGTACTAGAAATCATAATGATATACTTATATACTCACTATAAAATATGAAGTATGCTCTATCATCTACAAGGTTCTTCACAATCCGGTTCCTCTCCCCGTCTCTTAGCCCCATTTTTCTAACTTTGGATTCAGATCTACAGCTATACTGCTGCCTCAGGGCTACTGCATTTGTTGTTTCTTTTGCCTCAAATGCTTTTCCATTAGGTGTTTCACACTCAAACAATGAATTTTCCAAATAATGAAGTTAATAAATGTGAATGTGTAGCTTTTATGATGCATACATTTCAGTATCAAGCTAGCTTTAGAATTCTAGTTTTAGTTCCCTTACCAAATAAATAAGCAAAATTTCCCTGTTGGGCAGAGGTTCTTAGCAGCTGGTGGAAATTTAATTGTGGGCTACAAATGTAGGAAACATACATTCTTAGTGATTTCCAGGACTGAGTGGAATATTGGTTTTAATAAATAAAACTTGCTATTATTATCTGTGAGTTTTATTTTAAACAAGATAAATATTATTTTCCTGGTTTTGACTTGAGACCACATAGACACAAAATGTGGTTAGCAAACCAGTGTTTACTGTGTCCTAAAGGGTCACTATGAGTCAGAATCGACTCAACAGGCCATAATTACAAAACAATATACCAAGCTAGAAAGAAGTCATTCTTTAATTCTCATTCTAGACTCTCCTAACACAAGACACCCAGAATGCTGATAAAATGATTTTCAAGTATTCATCTTTAGTGCTCATTTAGAAGTTCAAAGTGGTTAAGTCTTAATCTCAATGACAGAGCTCTAGTAGCACAATAGGTCAAGCATCAGGCTACTAATAAAGTTAAGTGGTTCAAAACCAGGAGCCATTCCATGGGACAATGAGGCAGTTTGCGTCTGTAAATATTACCATCTCTGAAACCTCAGAGCAGTTCTACTCTGTCTTACAGGGTTGGTCTGAGTCAGAATCGATTTGATAGCAGTGAGTTTGGTTTTTAATTCCAGTGAAGACTTAAAAAACTTATCCTAAACACAAAATAGCATCGGT